CACACACACACCCCCACACACACACACACACACACACACACACACACACACACGAGTTGTGGTCCTTTTGACTGTGGATGGTGTAAGTTATTGGGTCTCTGGAGTCTGAGAGCCAAAGCTCTACCTGAACCAACAACACTACTATGTAGAGTCATGTGGCACAGTGGAAAAGAACAATTCTTGTATGCAGAACCTGGGCTACATGGGAGGCAGACAAGGCAGAATGGAGTATTCTCTCCACACTACTAGCACAATCTGTAAAATGTACAGTGGCTCAAAACAAAACAAAGCTACTGGCTGCTACACTGGCCAAGGTGACACCCTCACACTGCCTACTGTTCCTCAGTCCCTGTGGAATCTGCTCTAACAAACTGGAAGGGAGGCACAACCAACTGAAAGGCCCCTGTCCACACTGCCTCACTTCAGCTCCCCACTGGCTTGCTGCTCTAAATGTTACATGAAAGCAGCCAAAAGTTGTGGGTAATGCAATAGGGAAGCCCATAATTTAGAATCCAGGCTAGTTAGCACAACTTTCACTTCTTCTTGCTTTAATATTTATCAAACCATCAATCATGTTAGTAGATAGGAAAATCCATGGGATCTAGATTATGTCTAGCTGTGTCTATACCCTCCAGCTACATGGACCAGACAGGGATGCACTCTGCTAAAACCCTAAAGTTATAGATGTTAAATCACAGCCCATCTTTTGTATTTAACAGACATCAAAACTGTCCAGCAAATCGCAGTGTGATATGGCATACTATTTCACTATAATTTCCTTTCTGTTGGAGGAAAAGCTCCATAATACCACATTTTTTAGTTTAAATAAATGTAATGAAATCTAAGAAAAATTGTTTGAGAATCCTTTCAACTGAACTGTGAAGAGCCTAATGAAGACATGTAAACATACACACCCACAGCTGAAGTCAGCCTACATACTGCAAGCACATTAAAGCTGGCATGGAAATAGAATGAGCTACGAAAGTCACTGCTGTAAAATAAGGACTTAGGAATTACTCTATTTTCAAGGGGTGTTAGCCCTATTTACACATTTCAGTGTACTTTCTACTTGAATAAAATATGCTGAAATTCCCTCTCATAGATTGTACACCTCAAAAATCAAGAAATTTAAACCAAAATAAAATAAAACCAGAACTCTAACCCATAGAACAGCTAAACTGAACTTGCTAAAGAATCCAATTAATGTAGCCAGGTGGTGGTGGCACAGGCCTTTAATCCCAGCACTTGGAGGCAGAGAGAGGCAGGCGGATGTCTGTGAGTTTAAGGCCAGCCTGGTCTACTGAATGAGTTCCAGGACAAGCTCCTAAGCTACAGAAAAACCCTGTCTCGAAAAACAAAATCAAAAACAAACAAACAAAAAGAATTCAACTAGCGCATAAAAGCCACTTACTTTGGAGCAAGGTAGTACATGCCTGTAATCCCAGTTTGGAGGCCAGCCTGGCCACATAGCAAGAACCTGCCTCAAGACATCAGTAAGTAAATAAACAAATGCCACTTACTTTGGTGAGGCACCTGGCAATGGGCCCACAGCAGGCTGGGAGTGTGGTAGTGAGAGGAGGCCCACTGTGGGTCAGGAGAGGCTTCAGGTAGCTGTGCAGGCATGGTTAAGGAAGAGAGGCGCTCATTTCTTTATACATTTAAGAGAACAATGAACTTGTTGTTTCAGTGGTGCTGGGGAGCAAACCCAGGGCCTTGCACATGCTATGCAAGTGCTCTACTTGCCCCAAAATAATACAATTTAAGATAATCAGTACCACAGCATGCTGACCTCTTCAGAAGCTGGCAAAGGGTTTGCAATGCCAGTTCATCTCACTGCCATATTACAGCAGCAAGACAGAAAAGGGAGACCTTTTCATTATCTTGATTCCACAGACAGGGAGACCGACACACAGAGAAGTCAATGATCCACCTAAAGTCACACATTCAAGGAAATGGGGACATATCTGCTAGCTGACTTTTACTTATGAACCTGTTGTATGCCATCCCATTGCTTTTCTGCTTTTAGGGATTGAAGGAACATAAGCATATCCTGAGTTTGGTAGTGAAGAAAATGAAAGGGAAAGCAAAGAATGACAGTGTTCAGAGGGATGAGGAAGTATTGAAGTAGCATATACTAATAAAAACGGCTTTGATCACTTATTCTGGATTCTGATGGATCCTGAATGCTGAGTTGAATTCATGTATCATGCTCTTTCACTTCCTACAAAGCTCAAAGGAAGTGAAGGAGGAAAGAAAAAACGAAATCCCAAATCAAAACAACAACAACAAACTATGAATCATAAACTCCTATATCATAGATCCTTATTTCATCAGATTTGGTAATTCATGGCAATTGAAAGAAAGAAGAGGAAAACACAGAGAAAGGACGTCATAAGAACCTAGGGCATGTAGCTTAGAAGTGGAGTACTTGTCTAGCATGTTTGAGGCCTTGGGCCAGTCTCCAGACCACACACAAGTTATTAGCTACATGGAGTGGTGCATACCTGTGATCTCAATACTTGGAAGGCTCAAGTGGGAAGAGTGTAAATTCAAGGGCATACTGGGCTACACAGCAAGTTCACCTCAAAAACAATTTTAAAGACAAAATTTTGAGGCTAGCAAGATGGCTCAGATGGTGAAAGTACTTGCCAACAAGTCTAACTGAGTCACACCCCAGGATCCACATGGTAACAGAGAACCAATTCCTGCAGTTTGTCCTCTGATCTGCATAGCACATCCCTTCTTCTCCTGACATACCTACACAGACACAATACATACATACATACATACATACATACATACATACATCTTTAAAAGACAGCATTCACACATACCTATAGTAATAAATTCCATGCAAAGATCAAAGCTCTCTATAAACACACTCTGTCTACACAGAGCCACTAAAAACAGAAATGATAAACTCTCAGAATGTTGATATAAACATGACCAAGGCTCTGTTTACTAGTACTGAATGGGGATTTGTTATACCAAATTACCCAACAATCTGCCAAAAGAAAACTCAAAAGACTCCTGTGCTTTGTTAGAGAAATAAAGAAAAGGCTGGGCATGAGGGAAAGCGCCTGTGTGCCCAGCACTCAGGGGACAGACACGGGGTTCCCAAGTTTAAGGTTAGCCTGGCATAGCTAGGGAGGCTTTGTCAACAACAAGGACCGAGGAGGCAGAATGCTTCTCTGCTATGCACAACGCCCTAGATCTGAACCCCAGCTCATTGAATTATTGTTCTGCATAGCCTTCTGGATAAATTACACAGATGTCAGTGAAGGAACAAAGACAAGAAAAGAATAAATATCATCTATTTAAATGAAAATCAAAATCAGCTAGCCCTAATTCATGCTGGTAGCACTCAGAATCGGAGTTACTGCTCTGTGGAGCATGTTAGGGAAGGTGTTACTGACAGACAACACAGGGCACCTTCCACTGTGCTATAAATACAGCAACATTTCTATCGACAGTAGGTACACAGGGATACATGGACAAAATTCATTAAACTGTATTCTTAAGATTCACATATATCATATTTAAATTATAACTTTATTATGACAAGCTGGCTAAATAAAGAACTGAAATCTAGACTGATGAATCTCTGAGCATTAAAATAACTAAAGTTTAGTTTTTGGTGTTTACTTCTGCAAGATTATACAGGAAACTAAGCTCTTTTTCTAAACTTGAATCGTTTAAATTATTTCGTGAATGTAGAAAATGTACATTTTATTCTAGAAAACTAAAAAATGTTAAATAGGAGGAAAGAAAAGCCCCAAGAAATATGGAAATGGCATACATCCAAGATACTGGTAATGGAGCCAAAAGTAATGACATAATCTTTAAACAATTTAAAAAACCCAGGCTCTCACTCCCTAATGGGAGCCTCGATGCCACAGATATGCTTGAATTTTTGTATGCACACGGTAATTTAAGGTACTTGAAAAAAATGGAAGGGAAAACCTAGTAAACAGAGTATAGTAAGCAGTGGCTTCTGAGCATGAGGGCAAGTGTATTTTTCCTAAACATATAAGGCTTTTATCACAAAGTCATTCTGAATAGGGAGAATTTGGTCTTTAGAAAGGCTGAGGAAGAAAAGATACACACACTCTCCCCTTACCCCAGGGGAGAAAGGCGGCTTCTAAAGAAGTGTGGTGTCAAGAACATTGTCTTTCATTTCAATCTCATGCTTTCCTCTAAGGCTTCCACCCAAGCAAGTACACCAGCAAGTAAGGAATACCCTTCACAGAATTCTCCAACTTAACCCAAGAACATCAAATACTAAAGTCGCCTCAACAAATACTATATCTAAAAAATTAGCTATGTCATTTAGGCTCTGGATTTCCTCCATACATCCAGTTATTACAATAACCAGTGCCTACTGGTTCCCTGGGTTTGCAAAGGAATTCACTGGTGAGAATGTTCTTCTCCATTACACTTATGGAGAGGCAGGTTTTATATTGTGCTTCTGGAAGGCAAACCAGCTGTTCTGGGGCTGCAGCTGTAGCTCAGTGGGTAAAGTACATGCTTAGCATGTGCAAATCGCTGGGTTCCTCCCCAGAATTCCCCCAACACACAGACACACTCACATGTGCACACATGCACACATGGAGTTGGTTCATTAAACTGTACTTATCCATGCATGTACTACCATGTGTTATCATTAAGGATACTTATGATCGAAGTTGTACCACATCCGGAAGAGCCAGGCACTCTCTGCTTTGGTAGTTCTCCTTTCATTTTCAGGAACACCCTGCAGACAGATGATACAAGAGTCAATGCCAAAGATGCAGGCAGGTTTATTTAGAGCCATTCCTTCGCAGAATCAGAAATAGAGCCTTCACAAAAGGTAGTGTCCAACATGGTTAACGTTAGACATTTAGTGGCTTTTATTCTGCAGCTTTGGTGTAGGAAACTGAAATGTTTCCCTAAGAATCTCTATGACTCAGGCAGCTTACTAGTTTATGATTCTATTGCCACTTAT